GCACCATGTCAACCCCTGCAACTTCACTGGTGTCAAAGGTCACATGACATCACTTCCTGATATGATGCCACTTCCTGTGACATCTTTGAATATGGCTCGCTGGCCCACTGGGTGATAAAAAGTTAATGATCCGGCCCCACATTCAAAAAGGCTGGACACCCTTGTTGTAGCCAGTAGGGCAAATACTACTTTGGCATGCATCAATCGATGCATCTCCAACAAAACCAAGGAGGTGATTCTTCTGCTCTACTCAGCGCTGGTGAGACCACAGCTAGAGTACTGCATGCAGTTCTGGGCACCACACTTTAACAAGGACATGGACAAGCTTGAGAGAGTCCAAAGAAGAGTCACCTGTATGATCAGAGTATTACATGGTAAGCCATACGAAGAAAGGCTGAGGTACCTACCTGAGACTCTTCAGCCTGAGGAAAAGGCGGCTGAGAGAGGACCTGGTAGCAGCTTACCACTACACTAGGGGAGTACATCAAGGGCTCAGTGAGCAACTGTTCACCAGGCACCTGAGGAGAAAACTAGGAGTAATGGCCACAAATTCCTGGAAGACTGATTCAGGCTCAACATTAGGAAAAACGATTTACAGTCAGGGTGTCCAGACTGTGGAATAAGCTCCCTCCAGAGGTGGTGCAATCATATATCCTGGAAATCTTCAAGAGGAGACTAGACCGTCACCTTGCTGGGGTCACCTGACCCCCAGTTATCTTTCCTGCTTGGTGCAGGAGGCTGGACCCTCTCTTCCAAGGTCCCTTCCAGCCTTACAATCACACAATCAACATGTATTCCCTTATTATTCCTGTTGCAGCACTGCTGGCAACACAGAATTCAGAACTCTTAGGTTCCAACCGATCCCCGCATTTCACAGTATGCATCTCAGTTCCAATCATAAATAGCAGTATTAAAACTTAAATACAGGACCACATGGAGAGAAGAAGTTGTTGTGGAGCACACTGGAAGGTCATGCTAAGTCATAACAAGCCATTATTTCCCTCTCAACTTGCTAACAGGCCTGTCCTCTACCCTGTATTTTTTTTCTGAGCTGCCCAGGATACCCTGCCCATTCACCATATCAGGCAACAAACCAACAATAAATCTAGCACTATTACATTCTGCAGTTTCCTTTCAGGTTTACCAGTCTCAAAAACTTCCAGTCCCCTTTCCTTAGATCTGAAGATTTTTCTTGTTCACCATTCAGCACCCTCCTCTCCATAAAGCCAACTATATTTTCACAACTGTCAGAACATACTTCTTCCACCTAATCCAGCTTTCAGTTTTACCTGCTGCACACAACTATCGCTTTTTCCCAGTAGCCAACTTTATGCTAATCATGAAGCTCACAAACCTTCTGTTCTTCAAATATACTACCTCTGACCCCATGCACATTCCCTATTCTTAAGTCACACCAAAGCCTCTGACCAGGCATACAGATGAGGTGCTTCCATTATATTTTCTCAAGGACCCTCATAGCAAGGCTCTGCTAAAAGGAGTCAGAGGTAGAGACTACCAGCAAAAAAGTTTCTCCCCTTGCAGCCAAGGCTAGCCCCTAAAGCACTCACTCCAGTACAGCCCCTAAATAACAGTGTTTAAAAAAAACAAAAACTGATCTAACTGGATTGAGTCTGGCACAGAAATTGAGAAATTTGATCTATTCAAAACTATTTTAAGTAGTATATTTTTCCCCATGACATTATCCACTTAACATCTCAAAGCAGCGGCTGCTTGTTTTTTATTTTAAAGAAGATCCATTTTTCTTACTTGCCATTTGACAAACAAAAAGATTTTTAAACCTAGAATTACCCTGAATGCCTTGTAAGCCGTGTCTTTAATTAAAAAGAAAAACTTTATTTTTTTCTGTATCTATTTTAATGCTGCATTAGGGTAACTTTAACAGAAAATTCTTAATGAGTTTAATATTTGAACACTAGCTGCTCTATGAATGGACAGACAGACAAACAGACAGACAGAGGCAGGAGACAAGATTTCTTGAATATGCTTGTACATAGTTCCATAAACATTCAATTTTACTGCATTTACTATGAGCAATTTTCCATTAAAAAAAAGAAAAAAGGTATTATCATCTGTTTACAGATACACAAAAGGATAGAATCCAAAACCATTTTTCTGCCATTTGCTATAATAGATATTTAACTAAGTAACTGCATTTTTAAGAACTTTTCAAGACTTTTTATTCATTTGGTACACAGACAAACCTATCTTCCTACCTCACAAATATTAATGGTGCTTTCATGGCTTGCTTTTTAACCACAAACTTGTCAAGCCACACCAAATTATTATGGGTCAACAGTCATGTTAGGCTATGCTAAAACAGATTTTCAGGTTACTTCTCTGAAGTCTTATTTAGCGCACATGATTATTTTCACATACCCAATATGAACTTTCCCAGGGCAGCCCAAATAATGCCTAGCAATTCTGAAACATAGCAAAAGAATGTCATCTCCTATGAATTGCATGTCTTTTGCTGCAGGGTAGATGCAAACTAAATTTAGCAATGCTGAGGAATTACTGTAAAAATAATACAAGATGCTCAAGTTTTTCTGGGTTTTTTTCTTTTTTGGTGCATCAGGAAGGAGAAAGTAAAGTAACTTTTTAAAATCCATTACTTTCAGACTCACCAAATCATGTCTTAGTTGATCACCTTGGCTGCCTATACACGTGCTCCTTCATGTTCTAATTAGAACACTCCAGTGTTGCCACACAATCACGTGTATTAAGCCCCTAGCACATTTTAAAATGGCCATGGGGGCACTTTAACTAAACTTTGTCAAATAAGGTTTTAGTTAAAGCGCCCCTGCGACCATTCTTAAACGTGCAGGGGCTTAATACCTGTAACACTGCAGCATCTTAATTAGGGCAGTTCTCTGAGAACCACTCTTTAATTAGAGTGGTTCTCCTCCCACCCCCCAGCATGTGTATAGGCAGCTTTTATTACTAAAATAATTTCCTTGGTGCAGGGGGCTGGATCCAATGATTGTCCAAGGTCCCTTCCGGGCTTACAATCTATGAATCTATAAAATGTTAATGTTGCTGAGTTTTTTGGCTTCCGAATAAAACGCTACACTGAACCACTAAAAAACTATTTATTAAGGTAGAAGCAAACTCCGCAAAAGCATGGGCAAAGGTCTTTGTTCCTACGGCCTGTGGCAAAACTTACTTACATGTACAGTTTTAATTTTCCTGTTAATTCTCCTGTGGATGGATGGACTTGACTCTGTGGAAAACAGACTCAATAAATAAGTCCCTAAATAAAATTTTGCATAATTAAACAGTTTAAATGCGTTTTAGAAACTTTCTATGATTCTTTTAAGCTCATAAGAAAGGAGATGTGCCCCAGTCCTCAACTCCTCCACTTTCACTGCCAGCAAAAACTGTTCCCAAAATATGGAGCTAAACTTACCTAAATACTACCTACAAATGTTCAGGTCATCTTTGTAAATGCAAAGAAGGAATGCAACCAAGACACTTTAAGAATACACGCATGGAATTGTGCATAGCTAACATGTATTTAAAAACCAGAAAACACCTGATTGTAATCTAAGTTACAGCCAACAACCATGATCTCTGTATTTGAGGTTACATAATAGTGCTTTTTTAAAAAAACAAAACAAAACAGTATTATAAGATTCTGCACCTTCATTTCTTGTACTGAAATTTTCTGTTCTTGGTTTCTCCCTAAAGAAAAGAATTTGATTTTAAATACACATGATGGGAAAAGTTTGATAGTCACATTAGTAAAAAAAAATAAATTCTAGCATAAGACTTCCAATGTTAAGGTTCATGTTCTTAACTGCATGCAGCTCTTTGCCGACGGAACCCAAGGTGAATAAACCATAACAAAAGGGGTTTTACATAGAAAAATGTAAAGCAAAAACAATCCATCCCTTGTAACCTGTTGCTCTGCTACCTCTCTTGCATGCATGTATGAGGCCACCTCAACACATTACAGGTATTGTGCAATTAACTGAGACCAGCTACACATGCAAAGTACCTATGACTCCATAAAACAGTCCAAACAGCTATAAAGTTAGACCTTGAAAATGTGTACTAACTCTTATAGCTGGTTGCTTTCCAGATTTAATTTACACATGTAGCAGGGTCTGCCCCCGCAACTGGGAGTCCTATCAGCTGCCTGGGCTCCCCATCACAGGGGTGCACCATGCACAGTTGGGGCTGGGAGATCCCACAGCCATGGACTCTTGTTCCTGGCAGCACCTCACAGCCACTGGGACACAGTCCTGAAGCTGCTAGACTCCTGGTCTTGGCAGTTGTGTAGTGCCACCAGGAGAGAGTCCTGCAGCTGCAGGATTCTCAGTCCCAGCTGTAAGATGCTGCCACAGCTGCAAGTCCCATCAGCTACAGGACTCATCAGCTGCAGGAGCTATTTAATTGCCAATGCAAAGGGGAGCCATTACAACATTTTTATTTTTCAGGACTGTTTGTTCCACCATTGACCTGTTCATACAACAGAATGAAAATCTTCCCTGGGCACTGTTGAAGTTCAAGATGACTGACAACAGAAGTGCAGCAGTCATCAGCCACGCAAGATAAACAGTATGAACATGCACTGTCACAGGCTGCAGAGTTCAAGTTTTAGAAACGGAGCAATCTACAAAAGTAAGCTCCTTGAATTTCGAATGAAATAGCCTATGTTGAAAAACAAAATTGAGAGTTAAGAATGATTACGCACAAAATCTGCCTAGGACAAACTGAAGTTGTATCGTATGCCGTGTGAAAGGTATGTTCCTCAGATTTGCATGGAAATCTTGTTTCATTGATCTATTGCGCTTAAGTCACATATAACTTTTATATTTATAATCCTTGTATGCATTTTCTTATGGATCTATTACAATAATATGAAATATTAGTGAAAGGTTTTTGTGCTTGGAATTTTAAAAAAAAATGCAGAATTGCTTTGTTAGAGCTAAATTAAACCCATTTCCCACTTAAAAAACCTGCACAGAGCAATATAGAAAAATATGACATGGTATGATAGAAAGTTTTTAACGGTGCCAGTTTGGTTGTAAATTGCAAGTAACAGACCTAAAAAGTACATCACGCAGGTAATCCAAATAAACACCTTGCACAAAAAAAAAAAAAGAAGAAAGATTTTAAAACTTTTACTGGTACTTATTCTGGCGTTGGAGGTTAGAAGAGATATCATTCAAAAGTATACAGAAACACCATTTTGGGACATTAGTTTGCACATACTATAGCAGCCTCTCTCTATTTTCCTGTCTTTCCATATGTTGTATAGTTAAAGATGTATATAGATAGTTGCTAAAAAGCAGCATTAATATATATTTTTTTATCGTTAGGAATACAGTGACCGGCTGACAAGAACTGGTACCAGAGTTTGTTCACTACTCAGTCACAGGGGGTGGGGAAAAAAAATGGCAGACCGTCTTCAAGAGCTTAAACTGAGAACAAAGGAACTGCAGCTAGATGAAGAGAAGAGCCATGTACCTGGGGGAAAAGAGGAACAAGGAGAGCTTGAGCAGCAAGCAGTTATTTATGAGAAAGAGCCCCTAACAGAGAGGCACTTACATGAAATCCAAAAGCTACAGGATGACATTAGTAACCTAGCAGAGGAGGTTCAAAAGTTTGGTCAGCAACAGAAAAGCCTTGTGTCTTCAATGAGAAGGTTCAGTGTTCTTAAAAGGGAGTCTAACATTACAAGAGAAATAAAAATTCAAGCAGAGCAAATAAATAAAAACTTAGAGGAACTGTCAAAAACCGTGAAGAAGGCTGAAAGAGAGCATGGGCCATCTTCTGCTATTGCAAGAATTCTTACATCACAGCATGCTTTCCTATTCCAGCATTTCCAGAAAACCATGCATTTGTACAATGATGTTATAATAGCTAAGCAGGAAAAATGCAAGACTTTTATTATCCGTCAGCTTGAAGTCGCCGGCAAAGAAATATCTGAGGAAGAAGTCAATGAAATGCTTCAGCAAGGAAAATGGGAGGTTTTCAATGAAAACCTGCTCACTGAAGTCAAAATCACTAGAGCTCAGTTATCTGAGATTGAACAAAGGCACAAAGAACTGGTCAATCTAGAGAATGAGATCAAAGACCTAAAAGAACTCTTTATCCAGATTTCACTTCTGGTGGAGGAGCAAGGAGGAATAATAGACAATATTGAAATGAATGTAAGCAATACTCAAGACTATGTTCAAACTTCAAAGGAAAAGTTCAGACTTGCAGTCAAGTATAAGAAAAGAAACCCCTGCAAAACTCTATGTTGCTGGTGTTGTCCATGCTGCAGATGACAGAAGTTAGGTGTCTGAAATACTGATGCCTACCATTTTGCCAACCAGACTTTTAAAGCAGCTCTGCAGTGTCATTTACTTTGCCCAACCCCAGAATTCCTTTTCACTCTGCCTGTTATACATGCCACACTCCAAGAGTCACATCTGCTCTTCCTAGCAGCTAGGGGATTGTGAAGGGAAATCTCAGCTGTTTCTGAAACTTATTGCCACCCACCACCCAAAAAAAAAAAACCACCAAAAAACCCCACAAAAAACAAAAAAAGAGCAGCAAAGAGAGAAGGGAAAAAGTCACCTTTACTTGTCCTCTTGGAAAACAAGCAGCTCTCCAGGAAGTATAAACAGACTGTGATACAAACACACGATGGCATGATGCCTTGCCGGTGCTGCTGGCAAGTGTTGATTAAACTGTGAACTCCAGACACTGTGAAGCCATAAGACTGGTTTACTTACAAGGTTTTTAAAATACGTTGCATTATTTTTGTTTGGTGTTTTTTGAGCTTTAAGTTGCACTGAAGTCACATTTTCATGCCTTCCTCAGGATCTATAAACATTCTCAACATGAAAAGCTGAGAGTCTCACCTAATCGCTTTTCTTTGGGAACAGTGGCTTTAAAAACAAAATCACAATAGTCCCAAAACAATCAGAAAAATATTAGTACTGGATTAAGTGCTTCCAGAAAAGTACAAACAGTATTATCTTAGATCAGGAGTGGGCAGCCTTTTGCTGGTGAGGGCTGGAGCTTATGACCTGGCTAGTCACTGGGAACTGGAATCCCAGCCCCCTAGCAGCTGGCTGCCAATTTCCCAGTCCCTCTGCAGCAACAGAGAAGCTTAGAGACTGCAAAGCAGCAGGTTGAACAATGGACAAAAGGACTGAGGAACAGAGGGGCAATGCGGCGCAGCTCCCCGAGACTAATTTTCTGGTGCTGGATCAGACCTCTGAGGGCTGGATATAGCCCAGAGGCCACAGGCTGATGGCCCTGATCCTAGAAAGTTCATTAGGAAAAGTGAGATTCCCTATCAATATCAACTTATAAAAACTGCAAAGAAAAACAGCTTAACGCCATCACGAGACCTGAAAACAATACTTTGATAATGTGTTTCAGGGAAGTGCCCACTTCACTGAGCTACAGTATCATCTGTGTTTCAGGTACACCTTTGCCTACAAGGGCCCAGCTTCAACAGGTCTGGAGCAACCCATGCCAGCCTTATCTATAACCAAGTAGTGAGGATATCCTCCTGGGAAATGATAAATATAGATTTGAAACTCCTAGGCTGAAGAAGGCCTAAACCCCAGATCTGTTACTTCCTGAGTGAGTGCTGTAACTGTGTCATTGGGTCTATGGGACTCCCAGAGGGGCCAAGAATTCAGAGGCAGAAACAACCAAATTCAGAGTATAGAGCTCCACTGAGCTACACATTGGAATAGAGATTTTGCTTCCCTAGACCTGAAAGGCAAAAACCACGGCAAAAATGAGAGCGCAGAAATGGGTTCACCATGGGACACTGCCACGCTTTTAGCAGGTCACAGAAAAATGTGGATTCTGCATTTTTCCATAGTTTTCCATGGCAAATAGAAAACTAGGATCCCTGATAATCACCCTTCAGCTATTTGAAGACTTACCAAATCCCCACTTAGCCTATTCTTCTTTAGACCAGGGGTGCTAAACCTGTGGCCCTCAGGCCCGATCCAGCCTGCAGGGCTCCCTACAAATCTGGAAATTTGGTGGCAGATAAGCAGTGGCCTGCTCTCCTGCTGCCAAATCTCTGGACCTGTACCAAGCCCTGGGCCCTGTGCACTGGATCTGGTGCCTGATCCTAAAGTGTAGGGCTTGATGGGGCGGCACTGGGTCACTGGGACCCAAACATGGTACATAGTGCGCGGATGGGGTTGGCCAACCCATGCATATTGGATGGGTTGGCCAATCCCCATCCACCCCATCCAATATGGCCCACAGTTTGGCCCCATGCCACTGATCTGGCCCTCGGGACGAAAGATTGAGCATGAATGCTCTAAACAATCCTAGTTCTCTCAGCCTTTCCTCATAAATCACGTGTTCTAGACCTCTAATCATTTTTGCTGCTGTGCTGGACTCTCTCCAAATTGTCTACATCCTTCCTGAAGTGTTGGGCCTTAAACTGGACTTAGTACTCCAGGTAAGGCCTCACTAGTTGTAAATACAGCAAAAGAATCACTTCCCTTGATTTGATGGCAACAGTTCTGTTAATAAAGCGTCGTATATTCTTGGCCTTTTTTATAACAAAAAATCATAGTGTTGGACAGAATTCAGCTTAAGATGGTCTACTTTTCCCAAGGTCTCTCTCTGAGGTACTTCAGCCTAGCCCAGGGCTTGGCAACATTTTTAGGCAGTGTCACAAAAATACCCACAACCTTGACTTATAAGATGTTGGCGTGCCAGGGGCAAATGGTGAGGGAGCCACAAGGCGTCCAATTCTTACTGTGGCATCACAGCCCTGGCCCCTTCCCTGAGGCATAAGTGCCAAGCAAAATGCCTTCACATGCCACACACTAGCATGTGTACCAGAGGTTTGCCTACCCCTGTCCTAGCCAATCATTCTCCAGTCTGTATTTGTGCATGCAGTTATTTTATGGATTTTGCACTTGCTCCTTCTGAATTTCACCTTTTTGATTGTGGACCATTTTCCCAGGCTATCCAGGTCATTCTGGATCCTAGCCCTGCCCTCCAGAGTGTCCGCAACACCACCCAACTTGGTGTCATCCCTAGATTTGCTAAACATGCACTCAATCCCATCATCCAAATCATTAGTGATATCGAACAACATCAGATACAGGACAAACCCCTGTGGAAACCTATTTCACACCTCCTCCTAACTAGGCACTGAGCCACTTATTAAGCATGAAGATGAAACCAGTTATGTATCCAAGTTACAGTACTTTTATCTAGTCTGAATTTCTCTAGCTTGGTAATGAGAATGTTGTGGGAGAGTATGTCAAAAGCCCTGCTAAAGTTGAGGTATCACATCCACTGCTCTTCCCCCATCCATAAAGCCTATCACCTTATCACAGAAAGAAGTCAGGTTGGTCAGGCATGACTTCCTCTTAATGACTCATGTTGGCTGTTCCTGATTAATTGCCTTGTTTTCCTCTAGGTGCTTCACAATGAATTCCTCGAAGACCTACTTTATATTTCCAGGTATCAAGGTCAGGCTGACCAGTCCGTACTTTGTCAGGTCCTTATTCTGCCCTTTCTTAAAAGATAGGCACTATGGGCACTTTTACATGTGCTCTAGGGGTGGAGGGTGGGAAGCAGTACTTTAATTAGAGCAGCTTCAAGAGATTGTCATTTAGTCAGGCTGGTCTCATGTTGCGCTTCCCATTTTTCTGTCATGCTGGGATAGCTCGCTCCTGGACCCTTAAATGATCCTCCTCAAAATATAGACAGCTCTCCTGGACTCCTTTTTCCCCTCAGACTTGCCTCCCAGGACATCTTGCCAATCAGTTCCCCAGGTTTGTTAAAACCTGCTTTTCTGAAGTTCGGTGCACTTATTCTGCTGCTCTCCTTCCCTTCTTCCCTTAGGATCTGGAATGCTGGGCAACTGTGAGTCACCTTACCTTCCACCTTAACATGTTCAGTCAAGTCCTCCCTCGTTGCAACTGTCAAGTCACGGAGATGAATCTTCATCCCCTAACCCCCAGTTCACCTGTCCACCATCTGTACCAGAAAGTCCTCACCAACACACTCCAAGAATCTGCTGCACTGCCTGTGCACTGTAGTGCTTCCCTTCCAGATTTCCTGATAATTAAAGTCACTCTTGACAACCACGTCCTCCAATTTGGAAGCTTTCATCAGTTGTTTCAAGAAGCCCTTCTTCATCACTGCCTCCTTGTTTGGTGGCCTGTTTCAGACACCCACCATGACACTCCCCTGCTGTTCTCCCATTTGACCTTACCCAGAGGCTTTCAAACAGGCCTACTTTCTATTATCTACTGCACCTCTATATGGAGAACCTTTATACAGAGAACAACGCTTTCTTTTTTCCCCTGCCTATGCTTCCTGAACAAACTGTACCCAGCCATAACCATGCTCCGGGTCATGCGAGTGATCCCACCACACCTCCATAATCCCAATCACATCATCATTTTGTGCTTGTACTAGGACTTCCAATTTTTCTCGTTTGTTCCCCTTGTTTCTCGCATTGCTATATAAACATTTCAGGTATCTAGCCAAGCATCCTATCTTCGCTCTGAGAAAATTGCTAAGGCTTACACTATTGCTTTCCCTTACTGAGGAAGGACATTAGGAATGCAAATCAAAGTCTTACATAGGGCTGCAAATTTTGAACATACTTTTCTGCCATTTCCTACTGACTAGTTTAAAGTGTCCCCTGCTCAGCATGCTGGATGAGGCAAACCGCAGTCTTGGGGGCCTAGCTTTCCCCATTAACTGCATTTAGACGCCCAACTTGGGTTTATGAATTCTACTCCCAGAGCTAGGCTCCTGGAAGTTTGGTGTGCAACACTGAGCACTGACATACCTATACCCCGATTCACAAAGCAGCACAAAGTCTATAAAAAGATGCATCATGTGCACTGTTTGTCCATAAACTGGCATGAAATACCACAAACCCTTTAACAAATGCCAAGGTTTTCAGGTGCTATGACAAAGTAGGCTATAGTCTATAAAAGACTATCATAGAACATTAGGATTGGAAGGGAACTCAGGTGGTCATCTGGGCCAAGCCCTTGCTCAAAGAAGGACCATCCCCAACTATATCAACCCAGCCAAGGCTTCATCTTGCCAGGTCTTAAAAACCTTCAAGGATACAGATTCCACAACTACTCTGGGTAAACTATTCCAGTGCTTTATTATCCTCCTAGTAAGAAAGTTTTTCCTAATATCTAACTTAAGCTTCCCTTGCTGCAACTTGAGACCATTGCTCCTTGTTCTGTCATCTGCCACCAGTGAGAACAATCCAGCTCCATCTTCTTTGGACTCCCCCTTCAGGTGGTTGAAGGCTGCTATTAAATCCCTTCTCAGTCTTCTCTTCTCCAGACGGAATAAGCACAGTTTCCTCAGTTTGTCCTCATAAGTCCTGTTCCCCAGCCCCCTAACCATTTTCGCTGCCCTCCACTGGACTCTCCAAATTTGTCCATACCCTTTCCATAGTGGGGGGCCCAAAACTGGATACAGTACTCCAGATGTGGCCTCACCAGTGCCAAATAAAGGGGAACAATCACTTCCCTCAATCTGCTGGCAACACTCCTAATAACACAGCCCAGTATGCTGTTAACCTTCTTCACAACAGGGGCACACTGTTGGTTTATATTTAGCTTATTGTCCACTGTAACCTCCAGGTCCTTTTATGCAGAATTGCTGCTTAGGGAGTCAGTCCCCAGGCTGTAGTGGTGCATGGGACTGTTCTGTCCTAAGTGAAGGACTTGCACTTGTCCTTATTGAACCTCATGAGATTTCTTTTGGTCCAATCCTCCGAT